CATAATTCATTACAATAATAATAATAAAAATGTAATCATTTTTCTCAACTGCTAACGTGTCTTATCTAAAGTAAACTTATGTTAGTGTACAGTTTAATCAAGAATGTAAGTGACGTAAATTATCACAAGTAAGAAATTGTGTACTTGAAAAAAGCTTGACAGCATTACCGGTGAGAGGGTGAGGGGTGATAGGGTATCCCAGAAGATGTAGTGTACTCATGAAGTTAACTGTACTGAGCACACTAAAAATGTTGACTTTAAATGTTTCAAAAAATACAATCGTGTTCAACTCGTAGATATTTGAGGACTAAAAGATGAAATATAACGCAAAAAACTGTTCATACTTTAATAGAGCTGATTTATGATAGTATAAGTGAATAAACTTAGAAGCACACTTTTGTCAGAGAAAACAACTGTACAAAAAGTGTCAATAATTTTAACTCGCATTGATAAATCTTATATAAAATTTGGATAACCCAAACGTATGTTGTATGTTATTATGGTTTTAGGTTTTAAAAAGATTTGTGTAAGTTTCGCATGATTTTCGATTAAATGAGTTTTAAAAGTGATTGCATGAACAATTCTCACTTCCCGTAAAAAAGCAAGCTGATCACATGCATTTACTTGGGTTCTTCGTGTTTAATATAGGTACATTTTGTTATTTTGCTAACGCTTGCTCCAAGTATTCAAAAAAAATTCACATAATTACTTAACTCTCTTCAATAAATATTCTCTTCTTGCATCAATTCTCTGATAGTCTGAAAAAATTGACTTACTTTATAACTCTAAACGAATGTCAACTAAATCTCATTCTTCCGTAACAGGCTATAAAAAAATATCTATTTTTAGCACTTTTTTCTTACTTTTTTATTTGTTAAAAAATCTGAAAAAGTTTTAATGAACTTTTTTGTGCTCAAAAATAACATTCCATTATTTAGTATGCTTTCATATTTTTAAGTTTTCGCCACAACCTGCCTTCTAGCTTTACAGCCAACAATATTATTTATTGTAATATTTCATATGTCAATGTTTTTTTAAAGGACTGCATGTTTCTGTTTCAATTTTTTTCTATGCTTAAATTTTAAGAAACGATTTCTTATTTATCATGCGTACTAAGAACGTATGTATGTACAAAGAATTCTAAATATTTAATATCAGTATTATAAACATTTTAGCTAATCACTAAAAATAAAAAAATGCACTGCGTGGGATTAAAACTATTATGAAAATCGTTGATTTATTTCACAGTTTAGTAATTTTCTCATATTATAAGTCTGTCAAATAAATGAACATACTTCTTTCCTATACAATTAAAAGAGAAGCTATTTTGCCTCGGAAAAAATCTAGCATAATACTTTGTTATAAAAGTTTTTAGAAAATTGGATTTTATACTTAATAATTTTACAATCTAGTCGTACGAGACCAAAAAAAAAGGTGTTGGCAAAGTAGAAGAGAAACAAGCAGTTCTACACGAGGAAGGTAAAATGGACGATGGTCTGGATTTTTCACGCTCTCAAGAAGAAGAATCTCGCACGGCTCGAGTTATTCGCAAGTGCAGCAGTTTGTTCACCCAGTTTATTTCGTGAGTAAAAATATCATCTAATTTTATATTTTAAATGTACGTATGTTCTATAATGAAACAAATGTGTTGTCGAAGGTATAATATTTAAAAAAAATTGCAACAAACGAAAAAACAGATTAAAGAACAAGAAATGAGCAAAATTTTCAAGAAGAAAGTAACTTTTTATAAAAGACTTTTCATTAAACTAAAGTTTAAAAAAAGTGTGAATCACGGTACCTTCAACGTAAGTGAAATTTCAAAGTCATTAAACATACTTCTTTTGAAGCAAAAATACAAAAACACGAATGAGTTATGGAACAATCATGAATTAGAAACAAGAAGAAATCTTAGAAGTTATTTATAATCATAAATAAATGGAGATTAAAAAGTTTCGAAATTGTGATAGTTGTTTTGATAAACATCGTAAAGAAAATATTAAGAATTTTTAGGGATTACTCGCTATTACTATAATTGCTTATCTTTGACATACAAATTGAGATTTTATAAAAAATAAAGGAAGAAGTAAATAAACTAGGCTCATTTTAGCTCTAACAAAATTCAGCGTACCTTGCTTTTTGTGCTCACGTACATAAATGTACGCTGATAGCCACAACTCTACACAAAGTGCTAGGTAGTGGTATAAAGCTTTCTTCTCTTCCGTTAGCCTGAGGGAGGGAGGCTTTTAATGTATGCATTAAGAAAACCCCCAATCATACGCTAATATGTTTGAGGTACAACGAGTAAGTCTTACCTCTGCAAGGTAGGATATGAACAAGTCTACATATTAATTTACATACATGTAAGAATACTTACATAAGGTGCATATTTGTATACATTTAAATTTTATTTAAGTAATTAGATGGTAAAAGATGAAGGCCCCAACCATACACCCTTACATATAAGGCATAACCAGTATTTTTTTTTAATAAATAAAAAAATTAAAAAACAACATGTAAAGAGAATATCTTTATTTCAATGAAAAATTGTCGACGTTTCGCTCGTCAAGGGGGATTTTTCAATAGCCCACCCTGAGTAGGTGCAACAAGATCTCCTTATAATTAACAATCAGCATCAACCAAAAAATTAATTTTAAAAAAACTATTAGCTGTTAGCACCTAGTGTGAAGTAATTACCTTCCAGTAAACATGGAGCAATAGTTTTATCGGTTAATTCTTTACCCAATTTCACTATGATTTTCGATTACATAGCTTTTTAGAAACAAGACAAGCCTTTTTTCCACAGAAAGACATAAAATATCAATTGTCTTTATCTTCATCTTACTAATATATAAAACAAAAACGCTGAAACCGTTGTATTCGTGAACCATAAAAACCATTTAACTGATTTTGCTGAAATTTTGTATACTGATTCTTGACTTACGATGAGCGGTTGGTTATCCAGGGGACAACCCAAAGATGAGATATTCTATAGAGGAGACCGGGGAACGACAAGCTTACTAGATAACTCTAGCACCCCAGTTTCTCCCGAATGATAAAATATTTTCAACTCAAACCTTGTAAATAGCAATTCTCACTGTGATTAATTTTTCTCTCTCCAAGAAAACACTAAAAAATGCAGCGTAAGTTTAAAGAAAAACATGTAAACTTTCATCTAATCGTTTGCCTGCTCTTGCATTTTTAATCGCACACACTCGATGCAAACAAACCTGTTTTAAACTATCTTATAATGTCTATTTTGTAGATTAAACCTTGAGCTTCAACATGCTTTTTTTAATTTTCTCTAGGAGGCATGGAAAAAAGTTATTTAAAAAATAATAACGTGTTTTATACGGGGAATGACTGGCACTTTAGGGTGGGGCGCTACTAGCACAGGAGGCCTCCATATTTACGGTGAGCTCCAACCATAAACAGATTTCCTAACCTTATCCAGACATGTAAGCATTGTGATACACAGTGATACACCGTGATACACGAGGTGACTTAGTTTTGAAGATGTTGACTATTTAAGTAAATTTTACAAATGGTGCGTCACTACAAAAAAAAAAAAAAAAACATGTATACATGCTCTCGTCATTTTTAATTTTAATTTTATGTGTACTGAACGAAAAAAAACTTCTTTTTCATAATTCATTTTACGAGTTACCTTAACATATCATCGTGATTTATCAGGCTAGTGGTAGCCCACCCCCAGCTCGAAGTACCTTACTATGGGGCACTACTAGCAGTTTTGAGAGGTTTGATTTGTGCCGTTCTGAAACAAAAAGTTTTATTATTTTTATAAAATTTGCTTGTGTTGTGATAACTACGTTTTCTTTTCTTTAAAAATTGATTTTGTTGGTTAATCTTACTTTAAAAATAAAGCTGTAGCTGTTAAAGAAAAGGTATCCGTTATTCCCCAGTCCCCTCTAGTCAGTGGCGTATCTCCTTCCAGCATGGTCTCCATACACAGAGACTCCGAGGGTCAGTCAAGCTACCAGCAGCCAGCTCTTTATCATCAAGAGTAATAAGAAATAGTTGAAGGTTTCAGCACTGGCCCCTTTTAGGGCCATTATAAGTATTAACGTTTCCTACTTAATCATCAATTTCATCGGTTGTTTTAAGGGCCACACCTAAGGTTAAACTACCTGATCAACAAATACGTTTTTACAACCATTTCTGGCAACGATTTGTTGACTTAAAATCTGGGGCTACACTAACAGGCCAAAGCAAATCACCTTAAAGTAAAGAGGCAGTTATGTTTGCTGGAAACTTCAGTAAAAAAAGAGTTTACTTAAGAAACTCACTGGTCCTTTTCAGGGCCATCGTTCGTCGAACTACCTTGCCAACAAATATATTCGTACTTTAAAAAATTGACAAAAAATAGCTTTTAAGGTTCACAAAAGTTTTAACTATGCCAAAAGTTGCAAGAGAAGAAATTGGAAGAATAACTTCAAGTGTATCTAATGTATACAATTTTAGGTGTCTAGAAACTGATGCAAAACATTCATCAAGATTGAAGCAGCAGCATCAAAATCGACAAATAAAGAATTCATTAAGTGAGGGATAAGGTTTTTATCGTAACCCTCACAGTAATTACTTAAATCTTCCAGATTTTTTAATCGGCAGAATATGTATTTGTATTTTTGTGGCGATAAAAAATGTAGAGATTAAGCTCCAGGAATCGTTTTGATAATAAAGTTGTAAGATAAGAGAAAACATTTTTTTTAGTTTTACATTTTTTGTGAGTTTTAAATCCTTACAGATTTGAAAATAGCCCTTTTCGTAGAATATATGGGAGGAACTGCAAATCAACGGCCTTTTAGGGTCAACGATTATTTTATGGCATGAGGAATGTACGGTACTTTTTAGCATAATTAAATTTTTTTTACTTTTCACAGGGTATTATTTGACCAAAGAAACTGTATTGATTTTGACTAAATATTTTTTCTGAGAAGTATTAGTAATATATGTAAAATTATCAACTGAAAACGTTTCACATTACATGTCAACATATAACGGTTTTCTATTTAGTGAGTCTCGGGCGAAGCCGAGGGGGGGGGGGGCACTAGTCCATCATTTGCACAAGTACCAGAACATCTTGTGAGAGACAACGTTAACTTTTTATCTTTGTTTTGTCAGGGTAAAGTTAATTAAGATGTCTGTGTGATAGTTACGTAAACTTAGATGTGGCATACACTCCATTTTAAGAGTTATGCTCAAGTTGTTAGAATAACAATCGGTATAAAATTTTTGTTATGTATAACGATGTATAGATAAATATTAGTCGATATAGAAAAAGTACTGAAAATTTGGCTATCGAAAAAAGCATTAAAAAAGTGCAGTCAGTTGATGTTTGAAAAAGATGACGTTAAAAAGTACTTAGTACAACTTTCAAACCAATCCTAACACATCCTAAAGAAATTTTCAATACAGCAAATAAAAATAAAAGAAATTCATACGTAATCTACAACTACTTGAATAACGACAAAAATAACGAAGTTACGAAAGTAGAAACTGGCAGACAACCCAGTGATGATAAAGACATGGTGTTTAAGTCTGCTGTTAGTGAAAGTGATGGTAAAATGAGTCCAGATACTGTTAAAATACATAAAACTTTTTAACATGTGACTAGTAGTGCTTAAATAAATTAAAACCTATGTAGGTACTCGTATTCACAAATGCTTGATACTAATTCTACCAAGTTATTAGGTTTACCGTATGGAGTAAGAAGGTGTGTAAAGTGGCGTATATAAATAATAATTCAAGCAGTCATTTGTTTCAGTATTAAAATAAGTGTTAACGTATGTAATCGTAAAATACCTTGGTCTGAAGGTAGTAGTTAAGATTTTCCTGGTTTTAGTTACGAACTTACTTCAAAAAGTCAGTATAATTTAGATAATAATAAATTATACCATGTCGCAAAATCTAAACTACCTCAATACACTTTAAATTGAGCCTACTGAAGAGAAAATAAGAAGTGTGTTAAAAGAGCAATAGATAGCATTAGAATTTTTGTATAAAACCTACAGAATAATACACACTTGAATTGTTTCAACAAAAACAAGTTTAATATTAACATTTTATACATATAACGAGTTGTTAAGAACAGAATAAGGCAGCAAGATGTTATTATCTTCATTAAAGATTTGACGTGCACGGCTCAGATAAGACTTGGATTGCAGATCTTATTAATATGCAGCTTTACGCTAGTAAAAACAAAGGTTGAAGACATAAACTGACTATAATAGATATTATTTTCTAGTATGCATGAGCTGTACTGATAAAGAAAAAACTGGTGAGATAGTGTCACAAGCTCTGCAGTATATTTAAGAGCTGGAGGGTGCCAGTAAATTTGTAAACTGGCCATGGCAAGAAATTTTACATTTATTTCTTATAAAAATTATCATTTTTATACAGAGCTACGCATATTTTACACGGTGAGAATATTTAAAAATTATTAGCCAATTAAGCTACCACCTGTGACCCAAATTTAGTGTTGATCCTTTTTTGTTTAGTCACTGTATTTTTTTTTTATTTAGAAAAATCTCAGCAATTTTTTCCACTGGACAATAATCTTTGTTA